TAACAATTTGTAAGATTTTTCCCAACATCCATTTTCTATATGAGAAATATAAAAAATATATTGCAATTAAATAGTTATCTAGAAATAGTTTTTTACTTGCACATTCTTTACTAATTTGAATACACATTTAGCTATAATTTCCAGAAAATACTAACAGCGTAAAGTGATCAAATAATACTAAGTTTAGTATACAAGTTGTAAGATTTTTCTTGACCTCCATTTTGCAGTGAAATAATATAAAAATTGTGTTCCAAGCAAATGGTTATCTAAAAATAGTTTTTCACTTGCACTTTCATTACTAATTTGAAGAAACATTAGTTATAATTTCCAGAAAATACTAACAGCATAAACTGATCAAATAATACCAAGTTAAGTTAACAATTTGTTGAGCTTCACAGAAACTCAAAGAAATATGAAAATCGCACTTCCATTAGATGGTTAGGTCTGTCTTAGAAACAATTGCTCACATCGTTGTTTAACTTGTGCTCGACTCTGCAGGCTCCACTGTACACGCAGGCATATGTATGTGGCACGTACACATATGTGTGTGCGAGTATGTGGCAGTATGAGAAGTTGGCGCTGCCTGCTCTGCTGGTTGGTCGTTGCAATGGCCACAGTCGGCTTAGCATAATAAACGTCAGAATTAATTGGATTTTAATTGTCTGTTAAGCGCTGAAATTAAGTGCAGCCAACTAGATTGTTGTTGCTGTTGTTGTTGTTGCTGCTGCTGGTGGTGCTGTTGCTGAGTGCAACTACAACATGCTACAAAATGTATTACCAACTGACTGCTTTATTCATGCGCCGCGGCCGTGTTTCCCATTCATGGCAAAACTTTTGCCTTCGCTTTTCTGCGGTGGCGATCTTAACAATGATCAACGAACCGACACACACAGACCCGCACACACACACACACACACACACACAGACACAAACACACACATGTAGACATTTGCATGTCTTTGATGGTCAGTGTTGGCAATTCTCAATTGGAAACGAAAAAAAGAAGAAGAGAGAAACATGTACTCGTATGTAGATCGGCCAACAAAAAGCCAGAATGGGAATGTTGCATTAAGAGCGAGGATAAAAAATCAGCAATTGCTCAGATGGCAACGTTTTTTTTACCTACGTTGGAGCAGTCAGGAGGGGTCGTCTTACATTATTCAATTGATCCACCAGAGGTTTATATGAAATCGCTGATCAAACTTATATGCGAATGTTATATAAAGGGCGAAGATCAAAAAAGCTTAGATGGCTTTGATGGTTTCAAACATACGCTGGATTAGTCCTTCAGCAGTTCAATTGATCTACAAATACCAGATGTAGGGAAAAAGGGTTTTATGAAATATATAAGATTGTTTATATCACAACTTAGAATGCCAGAATGAGAATGTTAAATTAAATAGGTAAGAGAAGTCATCCTGCATTATTGAAAGGAAGAATAAGTCTTGAAATAAGATTTTGTTAGAACATTAAGTTAAATAGGAGGAGGAGGGTACATCCTGCATTATTAATACAAGAAATGGGTCGTGTAATACGATTTTGTTAAAAGGCCAGAATGTTAATTTCATTAAATAAGTAGGAGGGGACATTCTGCATTAAAGAAAAGAAAAATGAGTAATATAATAATATTTTCTTAGAATGCCAGCATGGAAATATTAGATGGCAGTCATTAAACAAGTAGGAGGGGACATCCTGAATAATTGAAAGGGAAAATGGGTCCTATGATAAGTTTTCTTACGATTTTCTTTTTGAGCGTATTGTGTGCCATAGAAAAAGTTATTCTTGACTTACGTACATTCTTCTTAATAGCATTTGGACATTTTAAAATAGTAAAGTTTTTGTTTTTGAACGTTTCATACGCATAAGTCTGATTATTATTATTAATTTTTGGAATAAAATACTTGCTATTACTGTTTTGGCCACTTTTTACAATCAAAATAAATAAACAAGAGTAGATTTGAATGCATTTGTCTTGCTTAAAATTGTTGTTTTTTTATTCTTTTTTTTTGCAACAGGTGAGCTTTATTTGCAATCTGTCCGATTGGACAATCAACAAATTATAATGAAATATCATTGACATTTATTTATTTTAAATGACGAGCGTAAAAAGTATGTTTAATGTTTAAATATTTAGTTCTTTTTTTAATCAAAATAAATAAACAAGAGTCCATTTTTATGAATTTTCACAAATTTGTCAAAATGGTCTTTTTTAATTTTCAATTACGAGCGCAAAATATATTAAATGCTTAAATATTCTTGTTTTTTATATGCATTTTCAAAACAGCTTTATTTTTTTCATTGTATTTCTTATTCCTTTGCTACTTTTTCGTTCAATTATTTTTCAAAGTTTTGATAATTTTTTTTCACTAAGCAACATCTTTAATTCTTGGGACTACCGGTAGTTCATCATAAACTCACTTGTTGGTTAATATTTTCATTGGTTTAGCTGTTAATTTTATTTTTATAATTTTTTTTTTGTATTTACAAATTCAAATTTTGTGGATTTTCGCTTTTAGCGAATTTAGAAAATTGGAGTTCGTGGAAATGTTGATCAAATGCAGCTGTGGAAGCTGCAGATGTAAAAAGATAATTGGCGAGCACTGTTGATGGTCGTCGGCGTCACTGTTTGTTAGTCTCTGCTGCCGTTGTTGTTGTTGCTATTGTTGTTGCTATTGTTGTTGCTGTAGTTGTCGACATTGTGGTCTTCAGTTGATGCCGCCGCCGCGATTGTTAAGTTTGATTATATGACACGATACTACCATAAATATCTAAGCTGTTGTATTTGCAAGTATTGCTGAAAATTTTTAATTGATTTTCTGTATGCAAGCGCCTCTCTTTGTGTGTATGCGTGTGTGTGTGTGTGTGGAAGCAACCTTGTTGCTTGCAACATGCTGCCGAACTGCAGTCACTCAACTCGACTGCCAAACAAAGCGAAACAAAGGCCACAAAAATACATGCAAATACACACACATACACACACACACATACACACATAATATGAAGGCAAGCATATAAATAAAAAATAAAGACAGAGAAAAAATGTCACGGCTTTTTGGGCAGGCGAGGGATAAGCCGTCAGACATACAGACAGGACCTCATAAAATGCCAAACAAACGAACCAGCAAGGAAACTTGCGGGCGCAAGTCACACACACACACACAGACATACACACGCACACAAATGTACAGATATTTATAGCGACAACAACATACTTATAACGGCACTCGAAAACGTTCAATGAACTTGGCTGCGTCAACACGCTGCGTATACGCAATGGGCACGCATCAGCTGCGCGTCAGTCATCAGCTGTTGGCCTGGACGACCGTAAGAAAGACGAAGGAAAGCAAAAGACGATGAAGACAATGACAACGACAACGGCAGCGACTGCCTCTGTGGCAGCGGCGGCGGCAACGGCAACGGCGACAGCGACGGAGGTGCATTCGGAGAGAGGGACTCATTTTGATTTACGCCCAAGTGAGCGCGCGAGTTCAATGCTCTCTCAACCAACTGCCTGCCTGACTGCCTGGCTGGCTGGCAGGCTGCGTGCCTGCCTAAGGATAAGCCACATGCCAAAGACCAAGGGAATCGACAGTGGAGTAATTCGCTAATCGAAGAGGCAAAGCTCATCGAAAGCAACTCATTCTTCACTCTTTTATTTATTTATTTATTTGTAAGCCTTATCCTAGCGTTACAACTATTGGATTACTTTTAAATTATTACGCTAGTCATTACGAATTTAATTATATTGAGCTATTTGGTTATTTTCTTATTATTAGTTTTATTTATCTTTATAATTATTATTATATTTATTTTTAGGTTTGTTTTATCAGTTTTTTACTTAATCTATTTTGCCTAGTAAATACGTTTCCCATCATCAGTGTGTTTCGTTAATATTGTATATGTATTATTTATAATTTATGAAATTTTAAACATAAAACAATACTTTTCTTAACTTTCTTCAGCCTCTATCTCAAATGAAGAGGAATATATGCTTTCATAATACGAATCCAAGTCTATATCAGATCTAATATTATCTTCTTTTAATATAAGGGCTGCCTCAGCCAAAAGGGAAATCACTTCTGACGGCAGCTTGTCTTTATTTTTCTCGAGGTTTTCTATCCGCCTGTCTGTCCGTATGAACCTCTACAACTTTTAAACTATAATAGCTACGGTTACGAAACTTGGTAGGCAGACTTGTCTTACCCATATGTACAGCAAGTTTATTACAAACTGTATATATCCTGCTTATTTGATATAGCTAGCATAGAACCGATCAAAGCAAAAATTATTCTTAGTAGAATAACTTGTTTCTAAATAGTAAATAAATTTGTTATATTTTCTAAAATATCATTAAAACCTGGCTGACCATATCATATAGCTGCCACAATCGCTAAAAACACTCTTAAAACTAGTACTAAGAACTTGTTTATTCAATCTTTTACTCGTTTGCTGGTGAATAGTATGGCTTTGGAGTATAACGTACATATATTGGACTCTTTCGAATACCCAATCATCAGTTGGAGATAAAAAAAATACCACTATATAACAAAGAGGGGCTGTGCGACTTGGAGTGAGGGAATTCGTGATTATACAAGTAGTATGTGATTGTGAGTCAGATTATATTGTCTTCGATGCGGTTTAGGGATCGTGTTGTTCTGTTTGAATTTCGATGATGTTATTGTTCAGATTGAGAATGAGAGAGAATCTTGCAGTTTGTTTGGCAGTTCTCGGGAATCTAAGGTGACAATATTTCTGCAAATATATCTATTCATCATCCGTCATCGCTACAAAATGAGCAGTCAAATGAAATATTTTTTCAATATCCACAATTTTTTAGACATACAAAATGCATTTGACGCGTTGCGTAATAGTTCCGTTTATTTTTAAGTGAATCATTGCAACGCAATCGTTACGTGACGAATACATTTTGTGTGTCCAAAGAATAATGGGACAAGATTTCTTAAATAACATTTTAATACTGATCAGTATAATAGGTACATTTCTTCGACTACACCGAGGGGGAGTAAAAAGAAGGGTGGGGTTGCAAATCGATCAGTGCGATTAATCGTCATTTGCGGGCTGAATTGTCCCAAAGAACCAAAATAAGTTATTTTTTCTTCACCAAAACAAACAGATAACTAGCTGCGTAGTAGGCTGAGGCGAAAACAAAGTAAGCTCTCAATTGAATATAAGAATCTGCCTTTGACAGTTCGCAGGCTAAAGTAATTCATTTGTGTATAAAAATTATTCGGCAAATAGTGCAGAGGAAACACGGTCTGACAGCTTAACGGAAATATCGGAAGTGCGACTAATTTTTTGTTGGTAAGAAATGCCGCCAAATATTGTTTCCACGCCGCGTACGGTGGATGAATTGGCGAAGGAGTCGAAGCAGACGGGCGTACTCTTCGAATGCGATGCCGACACTCCCGACGGCGCACTGGCCGGGAATGTGCGTCAATTCCAGAAGGCGGAGAAGCGCAAGCTAAAGCTGGTTTGGCGCAACATTGTGCTCTTCGCATATTTGCATTTGGCTGCTCTGTACGGGGGCTATCTGTTCTTTTTTAAGGCCAAATGGGCAACAGTTTTCTTTTCCATACTTCTGTACACTTGCGGCGTGCTGGGCATCACGGCCGGAGCCCATCGTCTCTGGGCCCATCGCTCCTATAAGGCCAAGTGGCCGCTACGCCTGATTCTGATCGTGTTCAATACGATCGCCTTTCAAGATGCGGCCTTCCATTGGGCTCGCGACCATCGCGTACACCACAAGTTCTCCGAGACCGATGCCGATCCACACAATGCCACGCGCGGCTTCTTCTTCTCCCACATTGGCTGGCTGCTGTGCCGGAAGCATCCGGATGTGGTGGCCAAGGGGAAAAGTTTGGATTTATCTGATCTCCGCGCCGATCCAATAGTCATGTTTCAACGCAGGTGAGTCACTGATTTTGGAAAGCTTGCAACAAAAAGTTGAACATCTCTATGCCCCCCCAGACACTATATGGTGCTAATGCCCTTGGCTTGCTTCATTCTGCCAACGTTGTTGCCGATTTACCTTTGGGATGAGAGCTTCTTTAATGCCTGGTTTGTGGCCACCATGTTCCGTTGGTGCTTCCTCTTGAATGTTACCTGGTGTGTGAACAGCGCTGCCCATAAGTTCGGCGGACGTCCCTACGACAAGTAGTTCCTCTCAAGACAATCCAAACTGTTATTGAAAATTTCTCTCTCTCCCTCTGTTTAGAAACATAAATCCCTCGCAATGCCCTGCTGTGTCGGCCTTCACTTTTGGCGAGGGCTGGCACAACTACCATCACGTCTTCCCCTGGGACTATAAGACCTCCGAATGGGGAAAGTACTCCATGAATATGACCACAGCGTTCATTGATTTCTTTGCCAAAATTGGCTGGGCCTACGATCTAAAATCGGTGGCTCCCGGGACTATTGAGCGCCGCGTACGTCGCACCGGTGATGGCACCCACGAGCTTTGGGGCTGGGGTGATAAAGATTTCAGTGCTGAGGACGAGAAAGATGTGCTATTTGTTAAGAAGGAGGCGAAGTAAAGTTAATGCCTCTCGATATCGCTTTATTGCATTCAACTACCTTACAACAAAGTTGTTCATTTATGTTTCCATTTCTTGAATTGTAATAAATGGCCAATTGGCAAATGGTTTAATGGCATTATCCACTTTGAAATCTGATAGTTATAGGGGGGATCGACAACATGACAGACTTTTGGATCTCACTATCTGATTGCTCTTCGTGACTCGTTTATTTAAAGGGTTCAGCTGATGACTTTTCAAGCTCACATTATTTCTACACAATTGTTTCTATATCTGTAGCAAAGCTCTGTGATCAAGTTTCCCCCACTTACGGGGCTAATTTCCCAAGTTTATTATGCTTTGGACGCACAACGGCCAACTAAACCTTTTATATGCTCTATACACTGCGCGACAACCGATTAGCACACTCTATGCTTCTTGTTTTTAAAGCTTAATATCAGCTTATCCTATAAAGTTTTTAAAATAAAGTATGTATGTATATAGAATTTTTTTTATTATTTTAATTTTATTACTGTGTGCTATTTAAATAAGTTCTTTAAATATTATAATGTACAGCTTTCCAATGCAGAGCTTTCCAATTTATTTTGAAGTAGCTCGAATGAGAAACAAATTTTTGAAAAATTTTCACCCAATTTGGAGTTGAATTCTCTTTTAATATGCTTCTGGCGAATGCGAGCAACAATACTTTCCAGATAAGCAAACTAAAAATTGGAGGAAATATTTAAAGAAGTTAATCATAAATTAATTCTATTGTTTCATCTCTAATCTGTATTTTTGACAGGGATGCTGGATAGTTCCTGTAAATTAGAAACGGAATGGAAACTATGTAAGCGGCATATCGCTAAACGATTCTTTTTTATTTCAATTATGGCTAAAATGTTCACAAGTTCTCAATAGATGTATAGTTGTTTGTAAATATAGAATTATAAGAGTTAATTATATATACTATGATGTTCCGATTCCAATCTGTATTCTATTAGAAGGGTTCTGTACTTAGAAGGGTTCTGTAAATTAAAAAAGGAATGGAACTGTGTAAGCGGCATATCGATTAAAGCCTCGACGTTTGATTATTATTTCAATTATAACTAAAATTTTAGAAGTTCTCAATAGATATATAGATGTTTATAACTAGGAGAACTATTCATGGAATTTTTTGTCTTCTACGATCACGCACAACTCTCGCCAGTTTTTTTTTTTTTTAATTTTGGGCTCGTGTGTGCTTTGCGAATTAGTCCCATGGTGCCTGGACAGTCCTGTTGAGTTTGTGGCGTTTTGCTGATCCGCTGTCATCGTCCTGGCGCTGCACACACGCACGTGCTGCACACACACACACACACACAAACACACAAAATAAGAGCAACAACTACAACTCAACGGCCATTGGCTTTTTGGGTCGGCGGCGTCGGCTTCTTCGTAGGGCTTCGTTCTTTTCGGCTGCCGCCAGCGCCAGTGTTTTTGTGCGTTTCGCGTTTTCGGGTGTCAATGTCCTTTGCTGCGTGTCGGCAATTTGGCTTGCGTTCCTTTGCCGTTGCCTTTGCCACTGCCTCCTTGTTTTGTTTTGCGTCAAATGTCGTTGCCGTCGTCGGCGTCGGCATCAGCGTCCGCGTCGACGTTATTCTCGTCCTCGTCACATTCTATTAGCCGGCTTGGGCTACAGGACATTGAACGTCTGTTGCCTCGTCTCAGCCTGTGTGCGTATATAGATATATGTATGTATGTATGTATGTATGTAGGAGGGTTTGTGCAATAAATAAAAGCGCCGGCCGCCTTGCTCGCCCAGGCATCAACAACACCATCATCATCATCAACATCATCATCATTATCGGCAATGTAGGTGGTTCTAGGTGCAATGAACTGCACATAAATTTTTGGGAACAAACAATGCAGGCAGTACACTGAGCGAAAGAAAGTGCTCTCTATAGATCGCACATCCATTTCATTCGCATTGAAGATTATCTATTGCCCAAGCATAAATAAATAAAAGAAATCAACTTGATAATTACAATAAAGAGAATTACATACATATGAATTAGTTGTAATGTTGATTTAGCTTTGGAATTGTGGAAGCATACAAAATATAAAATAAACTCGTATTGCCTAGTGACTAGAAGAGTCTGCAAATCAAGTTTGGTTGATGTGGGCTCAGCCGTTTTTGAAATGTAGGCGTTCATCCAGACAGACAGACGGACAGATCGATTTGGTTTACTAGATAACCATTGGGTTCAGCATAAAATCAATTTTATACTACCAATCGTTCCTATAACAACTATAACTTCAACTGCAACGAATTTGATGAATAAAAGAATTATTTAAAGGGTTCAACAGTTCTTGGAGTTCATAAAGATAGACAGACATGTCTAAAACAATGCGAGCATGAAGAAGAAGCAAATCTTTATGGTCATGACAATAGGTATTGTCTCAATATTTATTTATTTGCCACTCATTAAGCAGTGTAAAAGCGTCTCAGAGAGAGAGAGAGAGAGAGAGAGAGAGAGAGAGAGAGAGAGAGAGAGAGAGAGAGAGTGAGAGAGAGAGAGTGATAAGTGAAAAGTTCTTCTTGTTCATAGAGGCAGACAGACATAACAATGCGAGCATGAAGAAGAAGCAAATCTTTATGGTCATGGCAAAAGGTGTTGTCTCATAAGGCATTATAAGAGAGAGAGAGAGAGAGAGAGAGAGAGAGAGAAAGAGAGAGAACATTTCATTATTGTTTTTGAATTTAATTTAATTGAATTTAAATCAATAATATTTATAAATATTTTAATGGTTGTTGTAGGGATTCAAAAGTTCTTGGACTTCATAAAGACAGACAGACATGTCTACAACAATGCGAGCATGAAGAAAACGAAGAATGAAGAAGCAAATCTTTACGGTCCCTCAATATTTTCTTTATTTGCAAGAACCTTTGGAAGAATCTTAGAGAGAGGTTAGGCTAGCTTGTTTTTGAATTTCAATCAAAGAATTATAAAAATATTTTAATGGTTTTTCTTGTTCTTAACAGTTCAAAAAATAGTTCCAAATAATCTTTGTATTTGTACAGTAGTCAGCAAAAAATAGTTCAAAATAGTATTTATATTTGTAAAAATATATAATCTTTAACTATGTAGTCAGCAGCATGGATTCTGAAGGATTTGGATTAATCCAGACATGATTTCAGAAATGCAGAGCAATTTCGACTGATTTGCATTTTCAAATTCTCTCCCAATAGTTGTGTCCAGTTTCTTGGAGTGTAGGGGATGTGAGGCTACTGTATGGTGTATACTGTGTGTACCGTTATGCCTTGCAAGCTGCCCACGCGGCGGCGGCCGCCGCTTGTTGGATTAAGCGCGTGTCACTGTTGCCTTGTTGCATGTTGCTTGTGGCAGGAGGGTGCACCAACTTGGCAGCTGCCGCAACGCATTACGCCCATTGTCGAGGCATGGTCGCGACGGCGAGGGCGGCTATGTTTAACCCTAAGCGCGTATAACGTTTAATTTTCGGCCAAGAGCTGCTGAAGCAGCGCCTAATGATGATGAAGCGTTGCCGCTCCTCTTGCTGCTCTTGTTGTTGTTGCTGCTCGTGTTGTTGTTGTTAGCAGCGGCCTGCTGCATGCTAATGCATTTTAATTTTGCTGCGTCATTTTTGAAACGGCTGAGAAGTCAGAGAGAAGAAGAGCAGCCCGAAAAAAAGGAGCCGCAGGGCATAAAAGCCAACGACGACGAGGACGACAAACAAATTGCAGCAACAAAGCAAATGCGTCTCTTTCTGTGTGTGTGTGTGTGTGTGTGTGTGACGCCATTTTGTTGCAACAACAGCAACTGCAACTGCCGCCTTGTGTCTGCGTCAGTCTCCTTGATGCGTCCTTCAGGATATGCTTGGCGCATGACTTTTCCTTTAGCCAACAACATGGTCTTCACAGCCCCGGATCCCCACTCCCACTCCCACTCCCACTCCCACTCCCACCTGCAGCCCCCTTGCAAACCTTCTTGGCGTTTGTTGCTTGTCACAACTTTGCCATTTGGTTGCAGTTCAGTTTTTTGCTTCCATTTTTCTTTCCTCTCCTCCTCTCTCCTCCTCTCTCCTCTTTTCTGCTGTTTTTTGTTTTTCGTTTTTGTCTATTTTTGGTGAATTGCTTAGTAGCCGACCTTGTTGTTGCTGTTGTTGTTGTTGTTGTTGTTTTGCACGCTGGCTCTGCCAAAAATGCCTTTGGGGCATTTAGATAAAAAATACATGCACATACATAGACAAAGAGAGCAACAGAGAGCGAGGGGGTGGGGGCGGGGAGGGGCAGGGGTCGTCACTTGAGCACATAAAATGCAAGGAAAGACAACAAAAAAAAAACCAACGAAAAATAAAATAAAAAATTGTAATGCGATAGAATTTGTAAGCGTATGCCTTGGCCAGCGTCTAAAGGTTTTACCAGCTGGATTGTCAGACACACACACACACACACTTACACACACACACACACTTACACACACACACATGAACTTTGGGGTAGGGCGGCCATTCTTTAACATGAAGACATGTGGTAACAACACGATTTTCTAAACTTCATAACAAACACATTTTATTTCAGCATCGACAGAGAAAACAACTTCGACTCCAAGTCAACAGGAATAGCCATAAAATCGGTAAATACTTGTATGATCTAGATTTTAGACAACAGCTACAGCAATCGTGCGAATAAATTAACAACATTAAACAGTCCACGTGAACTTTGAAGGAAATACCTTCGTTCACTTTCTTTATTAAGTGTTCAGATTCCTCCGACAATTGTCCCAATATTTGAACTTGTAGTTCCCAACTACCAGCAATTGTTTCTGCTCCCAATTGATTTTAGTTTAACTTTGTTTAGCAAGTTTTTCGGCATCCGAAATGCGATTTTCTAAAGTTATTTTATCAATTTTAGTTGTCACAATATTTAAAATTGTAGACTGAAGAGGAATTATGTATGTGTTTAATTTAAAAAGTTTGAGATTTGGGTTTTTCAAGATGGACGTCGCGCGTGTTTGCCAGGAACTCCTTAATGGATAGACGATGTCAGTATTTTGTGCCTCTTCAGACCATTACCGAAGTCTACAAACCCGATGTCCCTGCAGTTTTCAAAAGCTTGTTTCAAGAAACACCATTGGTGAA